TTCTTCATTTTTACTTGTTTGTTTATTTAACTTTTTCCCATCAGATGCTCCTTTTCCTATCCTTCCTGTGTGTTGTGTTATTCATTCCATCTGGTTTGGGGAAGAGCTATGTTACTATTGCGATTAGGACTTAGGCTAAAAAAAATTTTTTTTTAACTTTACTTTTTTAGAGCACTTTCAGGTTTAAGGAAAGTACAGACGTATTTCACTTCTCCTCTGCTCACAGTTTCTCCCATTATCAAGGTCCTGCATTAGTGTGATACATTTGTTATGACTGATGAATTGTGTGTAATTGTAGTATAAACACTGGACTGCTAACCACAAGGTTGTTAGTAAAAGCACTGAACTGCTAACCACAAGATAGTTCAAACCCATCAGGTGCTCTGAGGAAGAAAGATGAGGCTATCTGTTCCTGTAAAGATTTACTGTCTCAGAAACCCTATGCAGGATTGCTATGAGTCATCACCAACTCCATAGAAGTCAGTGGTTGTTAACTAAACATTTCCTGGTGTTACAGTGGTTAGACAATTGTTGTTGTTGTTGTCAGGTGCCATCGAGTTGGAACCGACTCATAGCGACCCCATTCACAGCAGAATGAAACAATGTCCGATCCTGGGCCAACCTCACTACCGCTGCCACACTTGAGTCCATCAATGATGCCACCTGGCTGATCCATCTCATTGGGGGTCTTCCTCTTTTTCTCTGACCCTCCACCCTACCCAGCATGACATCCTTCTCCAATGATTGTTTCCTCCGGACAATATGTCCAAAGTAGGAGAGATGAAGCTTAGCCATCCTGGCCTCCAAGGAGCACTCTGGCTGTACTTCTTCCAAAACAGATCTATTGGTTCTTTTGGCAGTCCATGGCACTTTCAGTATTCTCCTCCAACACCACAACTCAAAGGCATCAATTCTTCTACGATCTTCCTTATTTACTGTCCAGGTTAGACAATTAGTAACCAAACAATGGTCACAGTTCAGACCTACTACTTGTTCTGAGGGAGAAAGATGTGGCAGTCTGCTTCTACAAAGATTACGGTCATGGAAAATCCTTTGGGATTAATTCTACTCTGTCTTATAGTGTTACTATGTGTTGGAATCAACTCAACAGTAATGGGTTTGCTTTGGGTTTATTATTAACTACGTGGATCCACCATCAACGCTCATGGAAGCAACAGTCAAGAAATCAAATGATGTATTGCATTAGCAAAATCTGCTGCAAAAGCCCTCTATAAAGTGTTCAAGAGCAAAGAATTCACTTTGAGGACTAAGTGAATTCACCTGACGCAAGCCATTGTATTTGCAATCACTTTACATGCATCTGAAAGTTGGAAAATGAATATGGAAGAACAAAGTCACAGAAGGATTTATGCATTTGAGTTATGGTGCTGGGAGGACTATTAGAAGTATCACGACTTCTAGAAAAACAAACAAATCTATATTGGAAAAAGTGTGGCTGCGATGTTCCTTGGAAGCTAGGATAGTGACACTTTGTCTCTTACACTTCAGACGTACTGTCAGGAGGTACCAGTCCCTGGAGATGGATATCACGTTTGGTCAAGTGAAGAGATATAGAAAAAGATGAAGACCCCCAATGTAATGGATTTACACAGTCACAGCAACAATGGACCAACACAACAACAGTCCTGGGGATGGCCCATGAATGGGCAGTGTTTTGTTCTGTTGTGCATAGGGTTGACTTGATGGCACTCAACAACAACAGTGACATTAACCAAATAATCTACGAACTCTTAAAAATTAAACAATAAGAAAACAAATTACTGATGTTTTAAAATGGTCAATAGACTTGAACAAAAATTCACCCAAGAACACCGACAGGTGGCAAATAAGTATACGAAAAGATGCTTAACATGAATGTCATTCTAAACAAAAACCCACTCCTGTAGAGTTGATTATGACTTATTTGTTGATGCTGTTGTTCAGTGCTATAGAGTTGGTTCCAACTCATAGTGATGCTATATAGTTTTTCAAGGAGCAGCTTGTGGGTTTGAACGGTTAGCAGTTCAGTTGTTGTTATTGTCAGATGCCATCTAGTCGGTACTGACTCAGAGTGAGCCTATGCACAACAGAAAGAAACACTGCCTGGTCCTGGGCCAAACTCTCCATTGTTGTCACTCTTGGACCCATTGATGCTGCCACTTTTTCAATTCAACTAGCTGGAGGTATTCCTCTTTTTCTCTGACCCTTCACCTTACCAAATGTCCTTCTCCAGCGACTTGTCCCTCCTGACAATATGTCCGAAGTATGAGAGATGAAGTTTGGCCATCCTTGCCTCTAAGGATCACTCTGGCTACACTTCTTCCAA